CGTACTACTTACGAAAGGATTTTAAAATAGTTAAATACTCTGGGGCGACCGCAATTTTCTTGTAAGGCGTCCAACATATTGACTTCTGCACGTGTAATAAAACCCTCATCGTTATTTTGGACTAGAAAGACTCCTTTGTCTTTTAGCTAAAGTTAAAGTTTATATCTTATAGAGAGTTATAAGGATTTTATAAACTTCTCTTCTCTTTTTATACAAAAAAAGATGAGCTAGTTTCTAGGAAACAAGACACGGTCTTATGAATATAATAAAGGAAAGTAAGCATGGATTAAGAGGCATGGGAGACATGTAGGCTTTAGGGTATGGAGTTTTTAAAGGGTTAAGGACTCTTTGGTAATGATTTAACTTTATGTAAGCTTTCATCCCTTCATTTTTTGTGTACCAAAACCGTAGCTACCTCCTTCCTCTCTTATTTTTTGTCTATTGCAAAGAAATGTTAGAAGTTACTTGCATGCTTTTTCTCTCTTTAAGTCATATATTTGGATATGTACTCAAAGCTTATGAGTTTTGGACTAGCATCTTCATCAAGTTGATTCATTGTTGGTGTCCATATTAGGAAGAGTTCTACTTACATTCTACATCAATATTCTAGCCTCATCTTAGGAATCATGAAGCTAGAAAAATTTGGAATAAGTCGATGCAAAATCCCTTCATGAACTAATTGTTTTTTCTTGCTAGCTTTTCAATACATATAGCCATTAAAAAACAAAGTGTGTTGTGTCGTACTACTGCGAAAGGATATTTCAAATACTGGGGCGACCCCAATTTTCTTGTAAGGCGTCCAACATATTGACTTCTGCACGTGTAATAAAACCCTCATCGTTATCAGTCGACAGACGAAATGAGGGGGGGTACTCATAGTACGATAAGATATTAAGAAACCAATTTGTCAAATTTAGTTACTTACAAGAGAACTTTGCTTATATCAGATATCTCATATTATTATTGTTATGAGTATTTAATAAAAGAAAGAACAAAACGTTTATCTACCTCATTTACGTATGCTTTCCCTTACTGATGTGACGTGGGGAACGTGTTACTGTGTAAAGTTTTATATATACTGAGATCACGTTCTTTGGGGCCACTGTTTATTAGGGTGATCCGTTGAACATTTCCCAGATCTAAATCTAATAAAGTGATATTTATAAATATAGTAATTTCGTCCACACAACCAAGGTACATTTCGACTAAATTTGACTAATGTGATGTCGGGAACGTATTACTGTGTAAAATTATGTGTGTGTATGTGTGTATATATATACACACACACACGCACTATATTATAAAGTATATTCATTATATCTTGAATTTTATGAGGTATATGTTTCAAAGTTTTTTGTACAAATCAAATATGCATAAATAAATCATTAATACTTGCCAAAAATATGAAGACATAAATAAGGAAGATTATTAATAAATTCAATTTGTAACAAAATACCAATATCAAAATATTATGTATATGAATTAATTTACATATAGGCAATATAAATATAAGCTCTAAAAATATATATTTTATTTAAAAGTGATAATTTTTTTTGTTACTTAATAACTAATAATAACATTTAGTAATTTTTTCCCGTAAGAAACTATTCACCAAAACAGCTATTCGTCGTTGCTGCTTTGCGGGGCACATATCTAGTGTGTGTGTGTATATATATATAGACACACACACAGATGTATCAATCTACCCGACAATCACATAGTAATTTTGTCCACATAGCCAAGGAACATTTCCGAGATCTAAACCTAACAAAAAATGACATTTATAAATAAGTTAGATTCTAATGTTTAAATCATAAACTATTTTGTAAATTTCAAATCAAAAACTATTTTGTAACTTTTAAATCATACCTTGAATGGAAAAAGAAAAACATAGACACTCTACTGTAATGTTACGAAATGATTTTCAATGTTACGAGATGATTTTCAATGTTACGAGACGATTTTCGTATGCATTTAATTTCGTAAAAACTTTGCACATCTCATTGTAAGTGAGCTACCACAAATAATTTTCCCACGTATATCTGACACCCAACAAAACAAATTATATTTTTTAAATAACAAATTAGTTAAACACATTAATTTTAGATTCCATACATATTCCATTTACCTCGGTCATCGCCTAGTGAAAACCATTTAACTCTTACATTTTCATTTATCTCATTTCCCAAGAACTCGTCACATAGAATGTACAGTAGATAGGATGTTACCATGTTCTCCCCATTAATATAGTAAAACCACTTGGTAAATATAAGCACATGCCAATCTCCAACTGTCAACTACCTGTCTGTTTGATTCAGGAAACAACACTGTCGGGATGATGAAGCAACGAGTCATTTCTTATTCCTTATTTACTTCTGGATACCAAACGCCAAAATTGAACTTGGTTATCAAAACAAAACAGAATCCCTTCACAACCGAAATAAATATATTTGTTGCCAAATAAAAAGTCTAAGTGTTCCTCTACTGTTAGTTGAGTGTCCGGTCTAACCTCCTGCAACATCACCCCATGAATAAATAGTGTGTTCTCCTTGATATTAAGTACATTCACCCACTATTCGAATGTGGTGGACCGGAATAACTCTAGCCTTCTTTCCGTTAAACGTTGTATATGATCTCTAACATTTCTTGTATTGACCTTTGAATTCAAAGAACATTTAAATGCTTGCAATACATGTTACATCAATACGAAAAGTGTTACAAAAAACTAAATCAAAACATTAAAATTTATATGGCAGGATAACAAATTTTTTGAAAATAACCTTAAGATTTGCAGTACCACACCTGTTAAAACTTAGATTTTTCTAGGTCAGATTCTGCTAAAATCTAGATTTTTGTAGGTCATGACATGCTAAAACCTAAATTTTCGTAGGCTTTGATTTGAAAAAATCTACATTTTCGTAGGTATAGACCTGCCAAAATCCATACCCTCTAGCGAGAATCTAATATGCATAGTAACGATGTCTAGTTTTCGTCTACAAACATAAAATACGTAGGTAAGATGAAAAACTATATGGTTGAAAACGAACCAAACCATAGGCCCATTAGATTTCCGCAACCCAATATAGATTTTTGCAGCCCACAATCATATTTTCACAGCCAGCAAGCCCAAAACAACGTCGTTTTATAGTTTTAAAAAGAATCATAAGATACCAATATTTTCGTAGGTGGTGGTATGTGAAAATCATGACTATTTTTAATATTTTTGTAATTTTTAGCTATTTTTTGGAAATTAGTTTGTGATTAAGCTAATTAGTCAATTTCTCTAAAATATAACACATACATACATACATACACACACACAAACACACACACACACATATATATATATATATATATATATATATATATATATATATATATATATATATATAATTATTATATATTAATAGTATGTTTTATTTAATAATTATTTTAATATGTAAATATATTAATAAAAAATTAAGTTATAGTTATTATGTTATGTATGTATATTAATAAATAACAGGAGGTACACATCCGTCTTCTCGATGTGTAGCGATATACAAAAAATAGATGCTCAGCCTGAAATGTTCGATAACAACGTTGAAGTCGTTAATCTATCGACATCATAGTGTAGCATGCAACAGACACGATAGTAGTCGTTGAACTACTAGGTCGGGAGAGGACAACCTCTTGTTCATGCTTCTCTTTCTTCGTTTCGGGGATGGAGGTACGATATTTAACATGTATAAGCAATTTGATTGAAGGGACCGACAAGATGTTCATAAAAATATACAAAATGGTTGTTGATGTATCATAATATCAACCGACTATTTTTGAAAGAATGTCGACGCTATCCTGCTAAGAGTATCCACAATGTATAGTTCAATGAGAGAGTTGAATGAAATGTCATGTCTAATTGACATTCAATGGATTAAAATTTATCATTGTATGATGTCATGTTGACATTCAGTGGATATAGAGTTGAATGACCATTGAACTTTATAGAGTTCAATGCATTGTAGGAAAATTAATTGAGAGTTGTATAAAAAGTAAACTGATGATATGTCAATCTATTAAACTCTAATAAGTTTAATGTATTGTGGATGACTAAGGAGGAACGGGGAGATTCCAAATACCGCCATAACACAACTGAAAAAGTATTGACATTACATTGACGTGAATTATTACAATATATTAAAGCAACATCTGACTGGATGCATAATTAGATAAAAGGTCAGTTATATATTAACACAACCAACTTCATTATATATTCAACATTGGTCACCAAAAGAACTTTTTTTGATTATCGTGGATCCTCACACTCATTATTCTTGTTTTTATTTCTCCAATATCCCCGACTCTAGGCTTATTAGTGCATTAGTTGGCATAAAGATGTACACGTTATCTACTTGGCATCCACATAATGATTATCTATTCATATTGTTCTTCTCCACGCATAAGACTCCAGTGAAGAACGACAAACTCCAACTTCGAAGATAAATGCATATGAAATGGGTTTCATAAGGATTTCGACAAAGAGGAGACCAATCATCAGGTTCCCCGCCCTCACTGGCGATCATATTGGAAAATCTAATCGAATGGACATTCGAGTATACTTTATACATTTTTTTTGGATTATTTGTTATAAGGTTTTACTTTACTTTTTGATCAATGAACTCAATTATGCAGTTCAAGATGTGGTTTTCTTTGTGAAACATGTTTCTGTGGCACTTCCATTTGTCTTATTTGGTTTATAACGTGTCACGTTGCATATAAAGGATATAGATTGGCTCGGCCAACATGTCACGTTGCATATAAAGGATATAGATTGGCTCGGCCAAGACCCAAAGATGTGTCTGTGTGTTTTATAGCTATATTGACATCGTGATCAGAATTATTTATTTATTTTTATTAAACGTTATACATGGTATAAGATGACATGAATGTAGTTCATGATTACATGGTATAAGATGACATGAATGTAGTTCATGATAATTCCCTTCTTGGCATTGACTTGTCTACTTGCCTGGTTTCTCTTGCTTGAAACCGTAGCCACCGTTCCTGTTGTTCCACCAAGGTCCACGCCTCCACCAACCCCAACCATAGTTAAACGGAGAGCCACCAATCCCTGGCCAATACCCACCGCCAGGCCAATAACCGCCGTTGTACGGATATGGGTATGGTTTACCATAATAACCTCCTCCATCTCCACCGTATCCTCCACCACCATCTTTTCCATGTCCACTGTCCCCTCCATCTCCATGACCACCATCATATCCTCCTCCATCCTCATGGCCGCCATCGTATCTGCCCCCATCTCCTCCATCATGATCTTTTCCATGCCCACTGTCCCCTCCACCTCCATGACCGCCATCGTATCCTCCACTGTCACCACCATGATCTTTGCCTTGCCCACCGTCTCCTCCACTTCCATGACCGCCATCGTATCCTCCACCGTCACCACCATGATCTTTGCCTTGCCCACCGTCTCCTCCACTTCCATGACCACCATCGTATCCTCCACCATCTCCACCGTGATCTTTTCCATGTCCACTGTCCCCTCCATCATATCCGCCACCTTTTCCATGCCCATCCCCTCCTTCGCTTCCATGACCGCCATCATATCCTCCACCATCTCCACCGTGATCTTTTCCATGTCCACTGTCCCGTCCATCATCTCCACCACCTTTTCCATGCCCATCCCCTCCTTCGCTTCCATGACCGCCATCGTATCCTCCACCATCTCCACCGTGATCTTTTCCATGTCCACCGTCCCCTTCGTCATGTCCACCACCTTTTCCATGTCCATCACCTCCTTCACTTCCATGATCGCCATCATATCCTCCACCATCTCTACCGTGATCTTTTCCACTCCCACCATCCCCTCCACCTCCATGACCGTCATCACCATGATCTTTTCCATGTCCATTATCTCCTACACCTCTGGAACCACCACCACCTCCACCACCGCCACCTCCATTGTCACCACCACCTCCACCGCCGCCGCCACCACCACCACCACTACTACCGCCGCCGCCACCTCCTCCACCTCCACCTCCACCTCCTGAACTGCTACCATATCCGCGTGCCTTTCCTCCATCTTTTCCATCGTCATGTCCTCCTGTGATCACAACGCTCTCTTCTTGGTCTTTAACAACTACCCTGTTGTGCTCATCATGCGCCTCATTCTTTTCCAGAAGTTCCCTCGCACTTTGTGTTGTAGTTGTTATACTCTGGAACACGATCAGAAAGATTGCTAGACTTAGAAGAAAGGATTTATGAACTCTCTCCATTTGTATGCATGTATGGTCTAACCAATGTGGGGACTTGATTTATATACTACCAGAAGTGTGAGTAAATCCCCACTTCCTTAATTTTACCAATTAAATTTACACAGCTCATGGGTAATTTATTTACTTTGATACGAAACAAAGTATATTGTTCTTTAACAACACGAATCTCCTAAGCTCAATTTTGGAGAAAAAAAGTTGCTTGTATCGTAGGATCAATATATATATTAAGAGTTTTGTGTTTCGTGTACCAATTTTTTTAACATTTATAAGTGCGAAGAATTTGCTTAGGAATGTGAAAAAAATTGTTGAACATATGCATTAAGTTTTTTATCATTTACTTTAAATAAATCGATTTCTTTTGTTTTTACATGACGATATTTTTTCATCTTAAAATGAATAAAACGTCTTGATACGTACGTTGTTAAATAAAAGTCTTAGACTAAAAATTATAAATCTAAAATATTTCATAAAACTTGTGGACCAAATTCAGTTACTAATATTTCATAATGGTCCGAGTCATAAAAGTAATCAATTTGGTTTGTAAAACATACTAAAAAACTTATATTTTACAGTGACCATTTTAAGAAAATTTAGTTCCATATATACTTCCACCCTAAATTAATTTAATCAAAATAAAAAGGATTTTCGTGTCGTAAATGATTGAACCTACTCGTCATTTAATACATTCTAATGAAAGCCAAAGTCTGCAAAAGAATAAATCTTCTTTTGGAATGACCAAAGAAACCATTTTTTATTTCTTGATTTATTTCCGATGAATTGTTGGATGATCTCTAACTTTATAATTTTCATATCTTTAGGTTATTGCAAGAAATCTAAAATATTAAACTAAAAGGGCAATTATATATATATATATATATATATATATATATATATATATATATATATATATATATATATATATGAATTTCAAGAAAAAGAGATTCGAAATTGAGATAAATCTATTTAAAGTGTGTTTAAATCTCAAGTAAATACCACTAAACCACCGTAAGGTGGAGGGAGTCGATACGAGATGAGACATTTTTGTGGGAGGTACCGACGGTATCACATGAAACACCATTCTCCTCCTTGTGGTACCACATATATTCATGCTTGAGTGGGTTCACTTATCTATTCATCATTTTCTTAGCTTAAGCATTTATTAGTTGTAAGTTATGTTCATATATTTGTACAAAAGTGTATGGTTAAGACTTAAAGAGAGATGTGTTTTCAAGTGTTTATAGGTGAGAGAGTTGGAAGTAAGAGCCGAGAGAAATATTGATGTGACGCTACGTGACATGAGGAGTGGGAGGGATGAACTCCATCCACTCTAAAACACTAGTAGTAAAGTGGACGAAGGTAGCGAGCTTTTTCAGCGGTTTGAAAGCGGTGTCACAGTATCGTGGGCTACACTGTCCTTAACTAGTGACATACCGCCAAATGTGTAGACAAACAAGTTTCTTAACCCACTTGAAATCTTCTTTTTTTCTTATTCGTGACCTCGACTATTTTTTCAATTTCTTTTTTTATAAATTACCTATACAAACAACAATCTACCACTCCATTCCAACTCTCTCCAATTCCGTTCCAACTCTCTTCAATTCCATTTTAACTCCCTCTAATTTAATAGATTCATCATTTAGTTCCGATGAGCATCCCATCAGGAAATATGATATGTAAATGGAAGGTTTTTTTCATCGGATGTTATCCGATGTTGAACCAAATAATATTCAACTTTTGTCAACACTATTTCGAACTATACAAGCACTTGTTCGGAATACTGCAAGTTTAAACATAATTAAGAATTTAAGAACTCTTGTCCGGATAGCGACATAAAAACAATTTATCTGAAATTACTTTGCGGATAATGCAATCATTGGCAACGAACATTTTCGAAAAAGGTTTCAGTTGAACAAACACTTCTTCATGTGTATTGTTGGTGATCTAGAAAGAAATTATCCATATATCATCACAAGAATTAGCAGGAAATGACGTCGAATGGAATTTTGCGTCCCTAAAAAGTTGTTTTAGGATTTAATTTACCGTTTGTTGTAGTATGTTTTATAAAATAAATGTTACTTTTATTTTTAGCTTTAACTAGAATGATCTTATCCCCATTTTGCAGGGACCAAACATGCCAACGTAAGAAAGTTTAGGGACCAAACTTGACCATATATAAAAGTCATGTGGCCAAAGTCTGAAACCCAAAAAGTGTATGGATCAAACATGGCAATATACAAAAATCTAAGGACCAGAACTGCCAATATAAATTGCGAAAGTCTTATGGTCAAAATCTAAAACTCAAGTTTTAGGGACCAAACGTGCCAATATATAAAACTTGTTGTGGCCAAAATATGAAACCTTAAAATATACTATTCATTTTACAATTGTAATTAGTATATATAATAAATTTGTAAATTTTATATTAGTAAATGTTTAGTTTTGAAAATATAAATAACTAAATTATGTGGGTTGTGAGAATGAGATGCATAAATTTTTGAGATGTGAGCGAAGGAGGTTGAGAGTGGAAGAAATGAACTTCCTCCTCGAACCCTAATAAATTTTTATAAGAGAAATTTATAAATTTAACCAAAAATATTAATTAGTTTTTAAAATATCCAAAACAATATATATATATATATATATATATATATATATATATATATATATATATATTCAACACTAACCACTAACTTCCACCTGGGAATTTGGCATCTTTACCTATGAATTTACTTTAGACAAAATTGCAAAATGGTTCTTGTGGTATGTCAAAACTAGCAACTTTGGTCCAAAGTGAGTTTGGCTCGCAAAGATGGTCCAATAGTTTCGTTTGGGAAAATGACTTATATGGGTAACTATGTTTCAAAATTGTTCAAAAAATATCATTCAAGTTTGGTGTGTCCAAAAAACACCATCCAAGTAAAGCATTTGTACAAAAAACACCAACGAAGTATATTCTTTGTTCAAATTTGACCTTGTGGTAACCGACAATTACCGGTAAAAAAATAAATAAAGGAAAAAAAAACAAGAGGAAATGACTCAAAGAGGTAATTATGTTTCAAAATAGTTCAAAAAACACCATCCAAGTTTGGTATGTTCAAAAAACACCATTTAAGTAAACCTTTTGTACAAAAAACACCAACAAACAATATGTTTTGTTCAAATATTACCCACCGGTAACTGGCTCTTACAGGTTAAATGATGACTTGGCTTAACTATTATGACATGGCATAATAATTATTGACAAAACAATAAATGATATATTCCTCCTTTAAAAATCGATTTAGGGTTTCTTCATGAACGAATGACTTCTTCTTCTCCTATGATTGCTCTTCTTCTTCTAAAGTGATGATCTCGAACTCAACTAACTGGTTCCGACTCTGCTACAAGGAACCAATCGCCATCAATTGCATCTAGCAATTTTAGGGCAGTCTTCGATGATCAATCCTTCTATAATGATTCAATCCGTCTCATGATCAAGTTCATCTCCAATCATCCATTGTTTGGACCTTTCGAATTATTCACTGATGTGGTTCCCATCTCAACTCTGTTCAAATGTGCTTTCTCGGCGTACCGACCACTCAATAATCTTCAAGAAGTTCATCTGAACTTGGTGGATGATTCTTTGGTCATTTTGCCCAAAGACAAGTTTCTTACTGCAATCAATCTTTTGGTGCATCCCTCAACCAAGTTTTTCTCACCAAGTGTAACAGACATTCTCTCCACACTATACCAGATGGGATACCAAAAGAAGCTCAAGGGAATAGGTGAGTTCAAGAAGAACCAGTTGCATGTGGTATGGTAGTTTGTATGCCATTTTGTGATCCGCAGTCTGTCAGGAAGAACCGGAGGCACAGACAATATGGGCCTCAAATTACTGAAATTAGTATGGAGCATCTTCACATGCCATGATGTCAACTACGAGCAAATCTTATGGGATGATTTCCTTCAATACATCCCTAAGGAAAGTCCAAGAGAAAACCCCACAGAGCTCACATTTGCAAGATTTTAGGCTCTCTGCATTTCAGATCTTTGGTCGAGGTCGCTGTCTCAATCAAAAATAACCTCAAAACCACTAGATAGCTAGGGTAAGTAAGGGTCGAATCCACGAGGAGTTTGTGATCAAACTTTGTGCTATAGTAGTCAATGAAAAAGAACTAATACTTGCAATTGTCACGAATTCAAACTAAAGTAAAATAAACTAAACAACTAAAGACTTCATGTTGCAAAAGGTTGTAAAAAAAATACTATGAATGAGAAAACAAGGTACTTCCGGTTCAGTTGTTCAGATGGTTGGACAAACATGTTTTCTTCCCTTAAATTCCAATTTAATTACCTAGACATAATTACGGTTGACTCACATTCAATATATAATTATGGGCACACAAAATTTTGATCCAACTAATTGTCTTACTCCCCATGTCTAACTGAATTAGGAACAACTAGTGGTTTGGCGATAATGTGTCTTACGATCACATATTACAATGTTGAGCATTTAATACTACAAGTTCAGAATAATGTATGTGGATTCTACTAGCCATCTTAATTACTAAACTACTTGAATTTGGAATGATTAGTGAATTTAACAAGACACTATCTTAGTTGCAATATCACACAATAAGAAAAACCCAACTCCAATTATTGCAAATAAAACTTAAAACTTGAAAAATAGAACAATGATTGAAATTGATTGGAATAAAAGTAATAATCAAATCATGTTCATCCTAACATCCTACAACGTTCCCGGAAGTAACCCTGATGGTTTAGTCTTCCATAACAATCAAAAAGCACACAAATTGAATAAAAAGAATGGAATTCATACTAAAATTCATAAACAAACTTGAAATAATAAAACTAATAAAATCTAATGATCAATCAATCATGGAACGATGAAACCTTGGAGAAAAAGTAATCAAATCTGGAGTTTGATGAAGATCCACCGGTTGAACGACTTCAATTGTTGAATGATGATGAACTTTGTGATTTGTAGCCTCGAATTCGGA